GCGGTTCAGGTGCTGCTGATGTTTCTTCAGTGTCTGATGTTCTCCCTGTCTCTGTGCTCTCACTGGTCTCCTTTGCTTCAGCTTCTTCCTTCTCCTTGTCCCTCTTTTCCTGTTCACGGGGAGTGCCTTGCTGCTCTTCTCCCCGGGGACACACCTCCTTGCTTCCAGAGGGAGGCTGGGGAGAGTTCTCCTCCCCTGGGGTACCATGACATACTTCCTCCTCCTTTGTATTCTCTGTGTTATTCTTGCACAGAGTCACTTCCTCTGCCTGTTTTTCCCCCTTTTCTTCATTTTCTGATCTGCTGGATCCTCTCCTTGATGGGGGCTTCTCATCAGATCCTTCCTGTTTCTTTTGCTCTTTGCTGCTTTTTATTTCATCCTCTGATCTGCTGGATCCTCTCCTTGATGGGGGCTTCTCATCAGATCCTTCCTGTTTCTTTTGCTCTTTGCTGCTTTTTATTTCATCCTCTGATCTGCTGGATCCTCTCCTTGATGGGGGCTTCTCATCAGATCCTTCCTGTTTCTTTTGCTCTTTGCTGCTTTTTATTTCATCCTCTGATCTGCTGGATCCTCTCCTTGATGGAGGCTTCCCATCAGACCCCACCTGCTTCTTTTGCTCTTTGCTCCCTGTTTCTGCCTCCTCTATCTTGCCCTTGGGCACAAAGACCTCATCCCCATCTTCCTTGGCACCATTTTCTGGAGAGGGGATGTTGATTCCTAAATCTTCTCCATCTCCATACTCGGAGAGAGATCTTCGGAACCTCCTGGACGGAGGCCTGCGCTTTATTGATCCTCGTGTCCGCACCTGGGAGGCAAGAAAAGCAGACACTGAAGCAGTCAAGAGAGAGGTACTGGAAAGCAGGAAAGCACAACAGAGGAAAATACCACAGGAAACTTGATTGCTGCCCTAGTGGCCTTACTTTTCTTGCTCTGCTACTGCAGGGAAACGAGGGCTCCCTGCTGCTGAGAGACTACTTCATAGGACAACCAGCTCCCTAATATATGCCTTCCCTTCTTCTGCAAAGATGGTGCCAGAGATCAGTGTTCCAATTTAAACTGTGACTCCTTGTCCAAGTTAGACTCTAAACCCAAGGAGGCTGCATTTGTTACACGGATGCTGCCAGCTTTGCATGTCTCAGCCTTTCCTACTCATGGCAGTTTTGTGGTTGAGGAGGGAGTCTGTACTCCTACTGATAATGGCAAGTGCAAGTCATGGCTCCCCATTTCAGTGCTGAGCACTCTGGTGACATCTGACAAACTGCTGTGCTCTGTGTGGCTCCCAAAACTGAGCCTCAGCCACCTCAGACATTTGCTGGTATGTAGCACCACCGGCTCGCAGCTCCCCTTGCCCAGGTACCAGCCATCCTGTTACTGCTGAGCTGAAGTGACTGCTGAAGGATGATGGTCCTGCCCCATCATCCCTTCCATTTACCCCTTGGGCCAGGAAGGCTGCTGGAGCACCATGCTCCATGTGCAGGCAAGCAGAGATTCCACAGAGCTATACTGAAAGGCTGTTTTGAACCCGGTGGATAGATCTCCTCTCTTAGGCACAAATGAACAGTGTTACGGCAGGACTGAGGGCTACAGCCTCCTCTTCCTCTTCATCCACAAGCAATAAGCAAGCATTGTGATGCAGAAATCCTAGCACATACCCTACCTTGTTATAGAACTGCAGCTGAGTGCCTTCTGGAGGCTGATCAAAGCTGACTGGTGTCTCGCTTGCCTCACTGGTCTGCGACTGAGTCCCTGGGCTGCTGGGCGTTGAGGGCGGCGTGCCGAACGGAGACACCAGCGCTTTCAGACCAGGGCTCTTGGGAGACACTCCCGGCAGCAGAGCAGCTGGAGCAAAAGCCAGATTGGCCTGCAAAGAGAAACCTCTGTCACGGGTGTGCATGACAGCGGCGCGTGCTGCACACTGTAACCACGCGGAGGAACCCTTGCTCTGCAGCATCTCTCAGCTGGCACAGCCCACAGACCTGGGTGTGGGTCTCTCTTGGCGACACTGTCAACAAACAAGTCTGGGCAGAGAAGTTATGACTGGACATTTGTCCTTCCCCAGCAGCTGGATCTCAGGACGTGTTCTTTTGCCATCCTGAGGCTTTTGGGATTTTCCAGTCATCCAGCCAAGCCACAGCAGAGCCTACAGTGGCTGAGCTGGGAGAAAATCTGAACAAGCAGCCAGCAATCACTTCCAAGATTTAAACTATCCCCATGTGCCCATAAACTATTCCCAGATCTTTTGAATGATCTGCACAATTGTGAGGGGAAGACCATGGAAAGAAATATTCTTATGATTAATTGTGGCAAAACACTTCCTGCTGGCCTCTCACACTGTAGGCAAATGCCCTTGGGTGCCTTAGGAGGGACAGTGCCATAACGAGTCAGGGTGGCCAGGGGGCACTGAGCTCTGGAGTCACACGTGCTGCCAGGAGCAGCAGTGGCAGTGCACCCACCCTGTGTTCAGGCTCTCCAGGGCTGATCTGTGCTCAGCAGCACGAATCAGGCACCACGGAGAGATACGAAAGGGCAACAGCACTGTGTGTATTTATGTGTAACTTGGAGAATCTAGACGAGGGAAGTGCAGAGCTTCTAGACACACGCAGGGGTGTGCCAGAGCCTGGAGCACACTCTCTGCTGCCAGGGTTGTAGCTGCCTGTGCTCGAGGCCAGCTCCACACTAGAGTGCAGGTCACTCAATTTGAGTTAGACTGCTGTGAAGAAAGAGCTGCAAGTAGTCTCAGCCAGGCTTTCCCTCACGTTCTCTCAAGACCTGCATTTAAACGTAGGCTCCTGTTCTTGCTCCCTACTTGAGCGGTGTTGCTGCCATGCCCATGCCCAGACATTTACTCCACAGATACAAATGCTTCTCACCATGCACTTACATGCTCATGGACACACCTGAGGATCACTGGGCTGCTTCTGATGCTCGTTACTATTACCAAGCCTGCTCTGCCTTCCTTTATTTGTATATGGGCCCCTCATCAGTGGGGCCACTGCCCTGTTTGCCTAGCTGTCACCCTTGGCACCTGGATTCCCTTCCCCCGTGGATGCTTTGCAAGGGAAGTAGCTATGACAAATACCAATCCATTTCAATTTGTTGGGGCAGCCACGTGGGTTCTTCCAGGACCTACCTGCAGCTTTTCAATCATGGGGGAGCTTTTCACCTTGACCTTGGGAACGGGGCAAGCATTTGGAGACCTCTTCTGCAAAACAAAATGAAACGTGAAACTGTTGCAGTAAAGTAGGAGAAAAGAGGAAATATAATAAAGGCAGAAAACTTGGAAGAGATAAGCAGAAAGTGCTAGTAGGGAAGCAAATGATGACTCAAATAGCATTTCCACACAAAAGTTTGCTTTGTTCTTTTCTGACTCTGTTCTTCTTTAGTTATCTAGCCATCCTAGGGCAAGATACATGTATGCTACCTCTGGGAGAAAAGGGGATTGTCTGCTTTCTGTCTGAAGGATCTGAGTTACACGTGAAATGGCTCTTGCTGCTACATTGCCTTCACTAAGGTATCTAGCCTATGGCACAGTTTCCCTGGTATTATTTCAGGACAAATTAAAATTCTCCCTCTTAAAGCCTTAATGGTGGCAAACCTTGTGAGCTTTCTGTGATGGGAAAGACTTTCTGTGACCACTTGACTAATAGAGTTAAATGTTATCCAGTTAGCATATGCAGGAAAGGCCTAAATGGCAGGACAGGTAAAGCCATGAAAGGCTGAAAGCAGTTTGAGAAAGGGAGAGCATTGCTGTGAAAAGGGGTATATTGTTTTTTTCAGGTCCAAAGGAAAAGGAAGGAATCTTAAGATTTTAAAGCTTGTTGCTCCTTTGGCATGGAGGCAACAAGAGCCTGTAGCTGACAAATAAGAAAGACAAAGAACCACCCCCTTGTTAAGGGCAGGTGGCAATTTGGTGGGTAGGCCTCATACTCTGAAATTACAGAAGGACAGAAGTAACCAGAAGGGGCCTGAGTATAAAATTCAGCAAGTTTACTGGGACCTGCTCATTCAAGGGAGGACACCTAGGGACAATATTCTGTGGATATTGCTGACAAAGCCCCTCCTCACTCTGGATTAGTTATTCCCTTTTTGTGAAGACGGAAAAGTTCTCACGAGCAGAACTATTACACCATTATACTCTACAGTTCATCTCAAGGCAGCAAACAGCATGGATACTCCCTGTGCTAAGCACTGTTCATATCTAATAAATGCCAGCATTCCTGAGTGGTGGTGACTGGAAGGATCCATTAGTGTGCTAAGGGTAAAAACAAAAGCAGTTGAAATGGGACGTGTATCCATTTTACAGGAGCGGAAAACAGCATGGAGCTGACTCTGAGTCGGTCCATGTGTGTGAGCAGGGGGAGATTTGATGCTGCATGACTGATGTCCTTTGCTGCACAGCCTGACCTCTCTGCTGCAGAGAGGAAAGACCTTGTCCCCCTGTTGAATTAATACTCACTTGCTCATCATTGTCACTTGTCTCAGTTTTGTGGGAATACAATGGAAGGGAGCATGGTGGTTTCCTCCGAGTTGGCTTATGTGGTGGTACCTAAGAGAAGAAAACAACCAACACAGCAGCAGGGAAATCAGGTTTCTTAAAAAGGAAGTGAAATTCAAGCACCAAAGGGCATGCTGTGTAAGTGACCTGCTTGGGTGGCAGGGCTCAGCTTGCCTAAAGGAGTCATCCAAAGGCAGCACAAGATATTAGCATATGGGCATGTGGCCAGCATGCTAGATGTGCTTGTAGCATCTCAAGCTCAATCCTAGTGTTAGGAAAGTAGTCTATCATTTTTCTTTTCCATAGTATGAATCACAACACTTCAGGCTTTGTGCAAAGGACACTCTTCTAAGCTGTACAGGGTGGGGAAGCCTTCCCAGAAACTTCAAAGCATCCTGCTGGAAACCCTTCACACTGGAACAGGTTGTTGCTGTTCTCTTTTCTGCCATGACCAGGATTTCCTTCCAACAAGTCTTAGCTGCCTACGAGGTTCATGATTTCCTATTTTCCGTTGTCCATCATTGTCCATGATTGCCTATTTTAGAGGCAAAAAGGGGAATTCTGACTTTTTCAGAATTTCAGCTTCATCCATTTCTCTCTAATGAAGAAAAACAGATCACAAGGACAAGTCTTCAGATGGGACCTTTAATTTGACTAAGAGATTCTCCAGGAAAGAAGGAACAAGGCAACCTAATGGCAGAGGCATCAGTTCCTTCTGAATGTCATTGGGCTCTCAGAAGTACGAGAGAGCTCACTAAGAAATAAGAGATATATCGCACATAATTATTGCTCTGGCCATGAAGTTAAGTTGTCTCTATTTTTATGCCAGGTTTGTAGTCTCCTGTAAAGCTGTTAACACACTTTTTATGTGTTAACAGTCAAAATAATTGGGTAATATTGTGGATCTTGGATAATATACACAATAAAATATCTGGATAATTATGTTACCTTGTCACAGGCTGGCATGTGAAAAGTTGGATTTTGGCATCTTTGCCTTCTGTAGAGTTGGCTGTCTTGGAAGACTGTAGACTTGATGCCACTTAACTTCTGGTGGTGCTGCACCCAGCCATGACAATGCTGCATCTCTAAGCAGCCAGGGGCAGCCCTGCCCTTATCCTCATGTCAGGCTAGGAAGCAATATTCTTATTGAAACCCCACCACTCTGCAGCCATGAAATGCTGCGCTGTGCCACAGTGAATGTATCAGAGGTTCCCTGGTTGATAGGATCCCCTCTGCTGGCATGGGTCAAGCAAGGGTTAAAGATCATCCATTAAGCCATTAATCTGAAGTCAGTTTGAGAAAGCCAGGGGGGAAGTGACAGATGGCTTGGAGAGAAAAGACAGGAAACTTTGTCCTCCTCTGTCTCTGGAGAAAATGAGTTTCCCCCCACTGTGAGGCCCCTCCACACTGCCTTGGCTTGGGAGCAGCAGAGGTCTGCAGCTAACACAAGAGAGGTCTGGGAACTTTCTGCCTTCTGAAGGGTGAGGGGATGTAAAGTTTCAGCATGATAGAGATAGGCACAGAGTCTGAGATGTCATTGGGAAGAGGTAACGAAGGCGAGTAAAGAGGCAGTTTTCTCTCAGACCGGTACTGAAGGAATTACCTGGAGGAAATCTCCTTTAGTGAGCAAGGTGCTGGTGACCTGCCACTGGCTTCTACATTGCATAGTCTGTTGTTTGCTTTCTTTTTCCATGGCTCAATATTGGCTATTGCATTATTCATTGATGCTGTCTGCCCACAAAACTCAGCCCAAATAGTAGATGCATGCATTGCTGTCTGCTGCAGTTGGGTAAATATGTGCACCCTACCAAGCTTTACAGTGTCTCAGTTACAGTGTCCAGGTGTCCTGATGTATGGCTCTACCAAAATACCCACAAATTGGCAATGCATGGAATATACTGTCATCTCTTGCATTGTACAAGGAGACAAATTCTTTGCAAATATTGCAAGTCAAGGTGGATTCATGCTCAGATCACTGATGCTCTAACAGGTAGCAGTGAGTGCCACATTTCCCATTTGATTTCCTGTTTCTGGCTGCGGAGCTCCTTACCTCTTTTCCAGTGATACTGGCTGCTTGCTCTTTGAATTTCCCTGCTAGCTGAGCCACTGAGGGTGATGCCGACTTGTCCACCTCTGAGTTGGTCTCTGCTGGCCTGTTCTGACAAACCAGGAACAAGTTATGAGCAAAGGCTAGGAAAAGCAAGCCTGTATATGTGTTTTAAAGTTCAAGAGTAAGCAGGGACTTAAAACAGAGTTTCTCACATCTGGCATCAATCATCCAGCCTGAGAGCAAGAAGTTTGGGAAGACAGAATCTAGCAGCATTTTCAAATATCAAATATTTCTAATTCAAATATACAGAGCCTCTCAGCTCTAGCTGAAGAGCCTACACTCAGTACTTTTCACTGGAAGCAAACTAGGTATTTCAAGCCAAGTGTCCATTCCCCATCTTTTCCTCACAGTAAGCAGATGGAGCAGGGCAGTAGAGTATATTCCCATACACCTCCTCAGCCCTCCCACACCTTTTTTACTGCCCTGGTCACCATCACCCTTCCTTTCCCAGTGGTTCTACTACAAGAAGCCATTCCCAGTCCCCACAGCAAGCCAACATCTGCTTGGAGATGCGTCCCTGTGCTGTACTGCTTTTTTGGCAGTGAAATACTCAGGCGGGTGGAGGGGAGGGAGGAAATACCAAGGCTGAAAGAAGCTTCCCCTCCCCTGAGTCGACAACAGGCTGAGAAGTGGGAGGCTTGTGTTGGAGTCTGGATGATGCAGCTCTTCCCACAGCACACAGCACTGGTGTCATCCCACATTTACCTTGTTTTCATTGCTATGTGTGTATTAAGGAATATTAGTAGAAAGCCTTGAAATGAAAGTTGATGAAAGGAAACCTTTGTTCTTCATCTCCAGTATTTGATGCCAGGGAAAACCAAACCAGAGGAACTGAGAATAACTAACCCAGCAGTCCTTGTTTTGTTAGAGGTGGAGACCTCAGAACAAGAAACCAGGCTACAAACCATCAGTAAGGAACCTTATGCCTCCACTCCCTGTACCACTACCGTGAACACATGAGGAACACCACACTTTTTACCCCTCTGCCTCAATACCCTTCTGTTTTTCAGTCAGAAAGTTTCCCCGAAGGCCATCGCTAGAGGGATACTTTTCTATTTCTCCAAAGGCTCCAGCACAGAGCCCCTCCCTCTCCCTTTATGCCACTCTGCCTGGGAGGGACCTGATGTCTCAAGAACACAACCACTCCTTCAGCATCGCTGGAAGTGAAAGGCCATGGAACCACCAATCTGGTCCATGTATAGACCAATTCCTTTGGGTAACCATGCTACAGGGGCTGAAGAGAGAGCTGTGGAAACTTGAAATCATATTAAGGAAGGGATTTCTTTAGACTCCTAGTTTCTAGACTAAAAGCAAATCAAGGAGGCTAGATTAAGGATTATCTCATCGCCTGCAGCTTGTAGCAGTCTAAGACATGCCTGGTGTGTGTGGCTATGGCCTGTTTGCACAGTGGAAAAGTGCCTTTCCCTTGCTCAGAGAGCTGTAAATAAATGCTCCCAATAAATACTATCTTCTTTTTCCTGGGCCCACAAGCCCCTGTAGGTGCCTGCCATTCCCTGTTTCCAGGATTCTGACTACATCTCCCCTGTTAAATTTCCCATACACTTTGGAATAGCTTTCCTGCATCCAGGAGAGCTATATCAAGCTGTCTTCTCTCAGTGAACTTCATGCACCTTCCCCTCATCTTTTTACTTTTCATTAATTACAGGCAGGGAAAGTGGCAGATAAGGGGGATGGAAGAAACAACGAATGAATTAAGCAGATCAGCAGGGTAACCTGCTGCACATGAAAAAATGATGGCTGGGCTAAGTGGGGAGGGAGAGCAGTTCCCAGCTGCACACTCTGTCCCTGTTGTGAATGGAGAGCAGGCTGGAAAGAGGAAGGAGGAAAGAATGAACATGAAGGCAGGATGGACTGGGAGGCTTGGCTCAGCACACCAGCTCCCAGGATACCTGGGCATGGCAGAAAGGACACTTGAAGTGAGGACTCAGTTGGAACTGAGGAGCTGCAAGCGCTCCGTGTCTGTGCTGGAAGGGTTGCCTCCCTCACAGTCCCTTTTTCTCCAAGAGCTTCTTTCAAAGCCCTTTGCCTTTACCCAGAAAAGACACTGAACTTCCTCTTGGCCTCTTTGACCTCTTTTCTTCAGGGTGATTTTCTTCTTCCCTTTTTTTTTCCCCCTGAATTTCAATCTGAAAACACAGTGCTCTTTCTTTGGATTTGATCAAAGCTGTGAGGCTAGAATGACTCCACGCGTTTCTTGCCTTGCTGCTCGCAGGCACTGATGGCAACACAGCTCTCGCCGGCGCGGAGCTCTCCGGCCACGCTGCAGGAAGCTGTGAACATGCCATTCTAAGATTAGCACAAGTAGCCCACGGGCTGTGATCTCCTGAAACTGCCAGCTGCAGGCTCTCCAATTACGCTGTGCATTTTGCAGCAGGAAAAGTCCTTTTTCAGATCCCTTCTGTCAATGACACTGCTGTCCTGTATCCAGCTTGGTTTTTTCTCCCCTCTCAATGGTGTGCCATGCTCTGTGTCCTCTAGTCAGGGGAAAGTGCTGTACTGGTGCACTTGGATGCAAAAATTTCCCTTCCTTGCACTGCAAGGAGAACACCCTTCCTCTGACTTCCAGGAACTGGAATAGCAGTCTCCCTCCCACTGTAAGGTGGGAAGCCTCACTTTATGACTCTCACCCCACAGTGTGTACCAGCCCTCAACCTCTTCCACAACTAAGACACAAATCTGCATCTCCAACCCCAGAGCTCAGCGCTGGCTCTTTCCTGACACATGATACTCATTCAATCTCTCCCATCTTGGTGACATAACCCACCATTTTTCTGAATGATGATGAATCGCTACTGTAAGGTGGGAAGCCTCACTTTATGACTCTCACCCCACAGTGTGTACCAGCCCTCAACCTCTTCCACAACTAAGACACAAATCTGCATCTCCAACCCCAGAGCTCAGCGCTGGCTCTTTCCTGACACATGATACTCATTCAATCTCTCCCATCTTGGTGACATAACCCACCATTTTTCTGAATGATGATGAATCGCTCTGCTCTTTTTTTCTTTTTTTTTTTTTTTTTTTTTTTTTTTTTTTTTACCCATGTAATTTTTTTTTTTTTTTTTTTTTGCAAACCCAGTGAAATTACTCAGATGTGACTTTTGTGCTCTTTGCAGCCAACTGCTGATTTCCTTTTCAGAGGAGGAGCAGTCAACTTGTGTGGGCTAAAACCTGTGAGCTAAGGTTAAAGGTTTAGTCCATCAGTAATTTGGTCACTGTTACTCTGAAGTCTTTTACTGTTCTATAAAAATAAGTGTCTAAGCATTGTGTATTCTGAAAAATGTCAGACAGCCATAAACAAGTATTGAATTACGCCATCAAGCATGTAAGCACGGCACTGTTTGCAAAAGAGGAAGTGCAACCACCAAGTTCTCTGTCAGGGAGTTGTTTCACTTTCCTCTTCTAAATAATTTTATCAAATTTAGTAAATTTGAAAATGGTTTTCAACACCATGTTTCTTATCTGCTTTTAAAACTGAGCCTGGTCCCTTTGGCAGAACTGGAGAAGAAAGTTCTGCCTTTACTTGTGGTTTAGGTACAAATATGCCAATTCAAGCCTCCCACCAAAGCCTCTCCTTCCTTATGCCTTGGAGTCCTTGCCTCTGTTGTGAGAGCAAAACTGCCCACCAATTCCTGATTCTGCAGATTACCTGAAGGAGGGTTACTGTTTTTAGCACAGATCCCTGCTCCTCTCACAGGCTGCCTAGTGGAAACACCACTAGGTCCCCACAGAAATGTCCCATGTCATCCCTGCTGTATGTTTTCAAGGCAGATGTGAAGATCTCTGAGCAGAGATGCCTTGAAGCTGTGGCACAGTCATCTCTGGTTAGCATGGTCCCAGCTTCAGCAGTGATTAAATGTGCCAGAAGATTCACGGGCTAGTAAGACTGCCTGATGGGGGAGAAATAACATCTCACAGAGGGCACCCCTCAGTACAGCAGTGTCATTACCTGGCTCAGTGACATTTGCCAATTCTCCTGCTACAACCCATGGACCCACTGTGTGCACCAGGTGAAAGAAGGTACATGTTGGAGACTCACAGAAAAGAGGTCAAGAAACTGATGAGTTTCTCTGTGCATACTGTTTGGATACTCACAAAGAGCTTTTCTTAAAGATGATAGATTTGAGCTGCAGGTGGCAAGGGTCACTACAGTCAGTGAGTTTCTTAGGAAATCAAAATCTCAGAGTATTTCCACTCCTGTGGAAAACTGGAAAGACAGAGGTGGCTTTGGGTATGAATCTGAAAGTCCTGCAGCAACTGGGGCACAGCTGGGTCCCACAGCCCTCAGCTAGCAGTTTTGGCCCGGACTCACTCTCTTGCAACTGAAAGCTATCATGACTCACGGGATTGGTACCCCACCAGTTTTGTCACTGTCTGTGACACTGGAAATACAAGTCTGAAAGGGTACCTGTAGGGATCAGAAAGTCCTACTGGCTGTCATATAGTGGAGTGTTTTGACTTGAGCAGCACTTAAATACCAGCTGAATAATAGCAGAGATCTGTACTTCCCTGGTCTCCTTCCCTCCCCTATGAATCTTCTGACTTGCATGCTTTTGCAGGTAGAGTATTTTGGCCAGACAGAGTACCCTTTTTTCTGAGATGCAAGCCCTCCATAGCACCTTGCTAGGCTATGAAATCAGTGATGGTTACACAATTTTTGGTACTGGGTCTATGCAGTTGCCCCTTCCCCCCATTCTCATGCAGCTGCATCTAGGCATGGTTTTGAGGCCAGTCCCAGACCTCCACTTCTACAGAGCTTTTCAGGAATGATTCCCTGCAGCCCATTCTCACACCATCGTACCGACCGCCTTCCCACACCCTGCACTCACACAAGCTCTGTAAAGCTCCCCTGTGACTCTCATGGGGGCTTTTCATTGCTGCACATACAATCTACCTCAGCAAAAGCAAATATAGCAAAAAGAATGACAAATATAATGTGCCAGAGGCAGATACAATACAGCATCTGAGGCTTGGGGCTAGTGTCTTACTTCCAGCAACAGGATTCAGAAACAGTGATATGCAACACC